ACCGGGGTCCTGGGTGCTATTACAATACAAATAATAATAATTATTCGCTTTGCCTATGGATGAGACACAATGAACTTCCATTCATGCCTCCACCTGCCAGCCATAATCAGCGGCAAGCAGGATTCTGTGTAGTAACTTGAAACTAATATTCATAGAATCATAGAACCCCATAGGGCTAGAAGGGACCGCAAAGATCATCTAGTCTAACCCCCTGCCAACGTGCAGGTTTTGTTATGTCTAAACCATCCAAGACAGATGCTATCCAGCCTCCTTTTGAAAACCTCCAGCGAAGAAGCTTCCACAACCTCTACTGGTTTTACTGATGTTACAGCTAGGCATTTTTTCCTGACATTTAATCTAAATCTGCTATGCTGGAGTTTGAACCCACTGCCTCTTGTCCTGCCCTCTGCGGCAAAAGAGAACAATTTTCTCCATCTTTCTTATGGCAGCCTTTCAAATATTTGAAGACCACTATCATGTCTCCCCTTAAACTCCTCTTTTCCAAACTAAACATACCCAGTTCCTTCAGCCTTTGCTCATATGGCTGCATTCCATCCCTTTGATCATCTTTGTCGCTCGCCTCTGGGTCCTTTCCAGTTTCTTCACATCCTTTCTATAACAGCGGTCACCAAAATTGGACACAGTACGCCAGCTAAGGCCTAATCCGCATCAACCAGAGTGGTGCTATTACCACCCATAACTTGCATGCGATGCCTCTGTTAATACAACCGTGTATGCTTTTTTTTGCAACAGCATGTTGAGGTTGTGGTCGACAACTCCCAGATCCATCTCAGCAGTGCTGCTGCCAAGCCAGTTATCCCCCATTCTGTCTTTGTGTGTGTCACAGACTCACAGATCATGCCCACTTCGTCACAGTGTGTTTGGTTTTTCTTCACTAAGTGTATCACCGTACATTTGTCTTTGTTGAATTTCATTTTGTTGTCTCTAGCCCAGTTCTCCAATTTATCAAGATCCCTCAGAATTTTCGCTCTAGCCTCCAAAGTGTTGGCAACTCCCCATAGCTTTGTGCCATCTGCAAATTTGATCAGTCTGCTCTCTAGTCCTACATCCAGGTCATTAATAAAGATGTTAAATAACAACACCAGACCCAGAATAGATCCCTGTGGAACCCCACTTGAGATCTCCCTCCAATCCGACATTGTTCCATTAATAGTTACTCTTTGTTTGTGGTTGTTTAACCAATTATGTATCCACTTAATGATAGTTCTGCTGAGCCCATATTTCTCCAGTTTACCTATCAGAATGTCATGTGGGACTATGTCAAAAGCCTGGCTGAAGTCCAGGTATATTATGTCTGCCACATTTCCCCCATCCACCAAATCAGTTACCCTGTCAGAGAAGGAAATCAAACTGATTTGGCATGATTTGTTCTCAGTAGATCCATACTGGCTAGTGATCACCCCTTCATCCTCCAGGTATTTGCAAATTTAATGATCTATATGTTGCTCTAGTAGCTTCCCAGGTATTGAGGTCAGTCTGACTGGTCTGTACTTCCCCAGCCCCTCCTTTTCCCTTTTTAAAGATGGGCACCATGTTAGCCCTTCTCCAGTATTCCTTTGACCTCACCTGTACATAAGGACGGCCATACTGGGTCAGACCAAAGGTCCATCTAGCCCAGTATCCTGTCTTCCAACAGTGGCCAATGCCAGGTGCTTCAGATGGAATGAACAGAACAGGTAATCAAGTGATCCATCCCCTGTCGCCCATTCCCAGCTTCTGGCAAACAGAGGATAGGGACACCGTCCCTGCCCAGCCTGGCTAATAGCCATTGACAGACCTATCCTCCATGAATTTATCAAGTTCTTTTTTGAACCCTGTTTTAGTCTTGGCCTTCACAATATCCTCTGGCAAAGAGTTCCACAAGTTGACCGTGTGTTGTGTGAAAAAACACTTCCTTTTGTTTGTTTTAAACCTGCTGCCTATTCATTTCATTTGGTGACCCCTACTTCTTGTGTTTATGGGAAGGAGTAAATAATGCTGCTTTATTTACTTTCTCTACACCAGTTATGATTTATAGACCTCTTCCAGTTCTATATGAGAGGTATATCTCCATATATTTAACCAGACGATGGGAGCCAAACAAACAATATTAAATCTAACTTAAATTTGATTACAAAAGTCAGGTTTAGAAAACTATAACTGAAAACTATAACTGATCCCACAAGTCAGGGTCAGAAGGATACACCGAGACAGAGAGAGCTGGGTTCTCACCACTCCGTGAAGCTGGAATCAATCGGGGTTCCCAGGGGGTGGTGGTAGCTGAGGGTCCGGAGTGCTGGAGACAGGCTGAGCCCCCAGCACAATCAGTCAGGAGAAGATGAAGTCCCAATGGAACTGATGCAGATTTTGGATCCAGGCATCCGAGAACTTACTTGAGCGTGGGTAGGGGTTTTTGTAGAGAAAAAACAATGGTTCAAGGGAGAACACTAGATTTGTTTATGGGTAAACTGATGGCTCAAGGGAGAATACCAAAGTTGTTTTGTTCAGGCTAGACAATGGGAACTGATCATTCCTGGCTATGGGCGGTGTTCCTTGGAGGGAGCTCACAATGCAATTAGGCAGCTTCGGTATTTTGGATACCAATAAAGGGTTTATTATTAGAATTGGTCTGATAACTACTGAACTGGGTGTGTGCAGGCGTGGGTTCATTCACATCTGGAGCAGAGATCCCCCATGATGCAGTGCTTCCCTGCTTTTCTGGTCCCAGAGTTCTGTGCGGTTCTTGCCTTGGAATCTCTGTTCTCCATTCTGTATGCTAATAGAGATGCCTCCCTGTCCCATCTTTGATGCAAACGAGGTTAGGGGAGTTTCCTTAATCCTGTCACCCTTATCCCAGGGGTTTAGGTGTCTCCCACGGCCTTCTTATTGCTTTTTGTAAGACTTTCTTCTGGTTGGCTTTGGTTCAAGCAGGGGGCTGGAGAGCGGGAAGTCTTTCGTGAGTCAGACAGGTTGGATACTGCACCCTGGTTCCCCAAGAACACAGAGCTGATAGGTAACAGTTGGGTGCAGGGGGTGAGGGCTCCGGCTGGGGCCGGGGATGAGGGGCTCCGGCTGGGGCAGAGGGTTGGGTGCAGGGGTGTGAGGGCTCTGGCTGGGGGTGCGGGCTCTGGGATGGGATTGAGGATAGGGTTTTGGGGTGCAGGAAGGTGCTCCGGGGCTCTGGTGGGACTCCCCCTCCCCCCCCCTGCAGCTCTCTCTCTCCCCACAGCAGCACCTGGGTCATGGGGGAGAGGTGCCTCTCCCTGCTGTGGGAGCTCTGGGGCTGCAGGATAGGCGCCCCAGCCCCAGCAGGTCCAGGCTGTGGGAGGGCCGTGCCTGGGCCCGTGCCGCGCTGCCCTGATTGTGGCTAGGTCCGGGCCACTCCGGGGTCAGGCCAGGCTGCCCTGCCCCAGCTGCACTTGGGGACAGCCCAGGCTGCTCCGGGGTCGGACGATGCCACACTACCCCGGCCATGTCTGGGGCCGGGCTACTCCGGGGTCAGGCCGCACCACGCCGCCACTGCGGGTTCCCTGAGCACATGCATGGCACTAAATAGGCTGCTGCGCAGCCGCACAGCTTATAGGGAACTTATATATACCCTTAATAATTCCCAATGTTCTGTTCGCTTTTTTGACTGCTGCTGCACATTGATTGGATGTTTTCAGAGAACTATCCACAATGACTCCAAGATCTCTCTTGAGTGGTAACAGCTAATTTAGACTCATCATTTTATATGTATAGTTGGGATTATGTTTTCCAATGTGCATTACTTTGCATTTATCAACATTGAACTTCATCTGCAATTTTCTTGCCCAGGCACCCAGTTTCGAGAGATCCTTTTGTAGGTCTTCGCAGTCTGCCTGGGACTTAGCTATCTTGAGTAGTTTTGTATCCTCTGCAAATTTTACCACCTCGCTGTTTACCCCTTTTTCCAGATCATTGATGAATATGTTGAATAGGACTGGTCTCAGTACAGACCCCTGGGGGACACCACTATCTATCTCTCTCCGTTCTGAAAACTGACCATTTATTCCTAACTTTTGTTTCCTATCTTTTAACCAGTTACCAACCCATGCAAACACCTTCCCTCTTATCCCCTGACAGCTTACTTTTCTTAAGAGCCTTTGGTGAAGGACCTTGTCAAAGGCTTTCTGGAAATCGAAGTACACTATATCCACTGGATCCCCCTTGTCCACATGCTTGTTGGCCCCTTCAAAGAATTCTAGTAGATTGGTGAGGCATGATTTCCCTTTACAAAAACCATGTTGACTCTTCCCCAACAAATCATGTTCATGTGTGTGTCTGATAATTCTGTTCTTTACTGTAGTTTGAACCAATCTACCCGGTACTGAAGTATTGGTACTGTCATCCATGAGTTTGCAATATTACTGCCAGTGGCTTCAAGATTTCTTCAGCTAATTCCTTCAGCACCTTGGAGTGGATAACTTCAGGCCCTGCTGACTTGATTTCTTTCAGATTAATCAGAAGAAATCTCTGACGTCGTCTTTACTTATTCTGATCTGCATCCCTTCCTCTTTATTGTCTATGCTGCTAGTCGTCCGGTCCCATGTTATTTTTCACGTTATATTCATGGAGTTATTTTGCAAAGGCATCTTTAGGGGCCGGGGGGGGGGGGCTTGAGGTTTTAAATATAAATTCAATGGTCAGACTTTTTCTGAAATATGACAACTTCTGGGCAGGAGTTCCATGAGCATGGAGACTGCAGTGTTTCCAGCAAATGTGGCAGAGTGCGCTTCAGATTTTCCCATTATCTTTAAAATGTTAATGTTTCCCTGCTCTGTAGGCAAATATGACATCCTTCTCGTGTATGACATACTGTGACTTATCTGACACGCAGCACTTTGAGAACCCCAGATCCAGGGGATACTTGATCCCTTTGAGATAATTTGATATTGTGTCTAGTCAGTATGTTTGGCTTTCAGGGAGACCTGCTGGAACATTCATTTAACCATATTTCTCTTCCTCTCCTTCACAGTACAGTGCGGTGGACAGCAATCCCCTCTCTCTCTACGTTATGCACCCATTCTGGAATACTATCGTGAAGGTGAGAATTCCTGCTGGTCATGTGGTTCTGTGCTGGAAGTGGAAGTGCCAATTTCTGTCATGGCATAATCTCTTAGACAGGACTGCCTTTTGGTTGAAACAAACTCTGCTTTAATTCCATGACAAATGCCAACCTTTGTCCTTCAAGAAGGACAATAACTGTGGGCGCGATTGCATAACCATCTAAAATTTTATGCTGCAGAATCATAAATGTCAAAAGCCTCTATCACTATCTAACACCAATAAGTCATAACCTCCTCTCTGATGTAGTTAAAAGCAATGTGTAGTGCCTATTGTGTGCGCTAATGTGATTCTTTGTGTGTATTTTTGCCGCTTTCCCATAGATTTTCCCTACCTGGTTGGCTCCAAATCTGATAACATTTTCTGGCTTCCTGTTGCTTGTCTTCAACTTCTTCCTCATGGCATACTTTGACCCTGATTTCTATGCTTCCGGTAAGACTGCCTTTTTTTTTTACTGTACATTTTAGAGCATGTGAGTAATAAAAGATCTGATACTCATGTCTTCCTATACCATAGTTTTGCAATTTCATGTGCTGACTGATATAGCTTGCTCATCTACTGCTCTGGAGTGTTCTTTGGTTTTGAAATATCAATGTGGCAAGAAGAGTCAAGGACAGAATCGCTGGGTGATACTGTACTAAAGCAGCCAAAATATGACTCATTCCTTCCAGTTGCTTTGTGAGGAGGAATAGCCAACCTTTAAAAAAAAAAAAAAAAAAAAAAAAAACCCAAAATTTAAGAGTTTTTTTGTACCTTTTAAAGTCAAGCTGACTTCGACACACACACACACACACACACACACCATTATGCTGCTTATAGCCTTGAGGAAGAACAAATAATACATTTGGGTACCAATAACAGATGATGTAACCTGTCTTGCTGATAAAATACCAATTTTAGGTTACTGGCCTGCTTGTCTTTGTCCAGTTCATTTATTTTTACAGTGCTGTGTGTGAACCAGTGGTACCTGTTTTTTTTGTTGGATTTAGAGTAATCTCAATTGGATATAAATACACCCAAACATTACATGCTACATGTGTGTACCTTTATTTCCCTCTTCTGATGGATGACTGTTCAGTCTTTTCACAGTCTGTTACAGTCCTCCTTGTCATCATGATAAAGGATGGGCAAGCAGACTTTATATCTGGGCTAGCAAATTTATATGGCAGTCTTGTGAGGCTGTTTTGACATTAAGGGCTGATCTAACTTACATCGACATAGCTACATCTCTCGGGGGTGTGAAAAATCCACACCTCTGGAGAGACGTAGCTATTCTGACTTAACCCCCGATGTAGAAGGGGCCAGGCTGATGGAAGGAAGAATTCTTCCCCTGACCTAGCTACCGCCTCTGCAGGAGGTGGATTAACTACAGCGAGAGGAGAACACTCTCCCATCGTAGTATTGAGCATTTACACTGGAGTGCTGCAGTGGCACAGCTGCTGCGCTCTTATGTGTAGACATACCCAACGTTTCTTTTGTCTGCATTTGTTCAAGAGAGAATCTAAAATGATTTGCTTTCCGGAAGTCTTTGTAGTATACCGCATAATCTCTACGGCGGGGCTTGCCTGTGTCTGTTCGGCATCCCATGTTGGAATGGCTCTTCCTAAACATCCGACTAAAAGTTTGATGGGAGAGAAGGAGTAAGAAGGGAATAAGAAGGTCTTGTAACCAAAAAAAGTGAAAGAAGTTTGGCCTTTTATTCCTTGCCCTAGCACCTTTGTCTTGTCGTAGATCTGGGTGTTGGCTCTAAAGCTGTGCAAATAACGAGGCTTAACAAGTTGGGTTCTTCTGGGCACTTCTGTAACTTTAATAGTGTTCGAAGTGACAGATCTGAAGGCTATGAGAATCTCCCCTTTGAAGGATGTGCAATCTCCGTTGAAGTGTTTTTGTCTTCCTATCCTGCAACAACCTGATTCTCCATTGCCCTGCACCTGGCTTAAGTAAGTGTAAAATGCTACCATTTTGATTTGGTGGCAGTGTACTAGTGTAAATGACTAGACATGTGCAGGGTAAGAGAATTGGATCCTGAATTAATACTGAACATTACTCTTCTGAGGTCTAATTTGTGTGCCCAGTTACATGCCATCATAGAACCCCTTCTCATGGCTAATCTCTTGTAAAGAACAAAATGTGATGTCTCTTATTGATGACAGCAAATGTGATGTCTCTTCAGATTTTGTGTTTCACGTGCCAGCTAGCTAGGATCTTGTTGAAAAAAGAAATAGCTGTAATGGGTCAATCCATCAAAACCCAGCTGGAGATCTGAGAGGCGCAAGTGAAGCTGCAATTATTAGCAACTGAGGGAATTCTGTGCACTTTGTTCTTTGGCAAATTGGCAAATTTCACTAGCAAGCATACTCTGTGCTGTAGTAATCAGACACTGCACTGGAAAGCTACGAATTAAAAACGAATAACTCCTTTTAAGCTGCAGGAGCAATTCCCTGTATCAACATTTGTCCAATTGCAGGTTCATGTTGGCTTCTTATGAGGGGAAGATGCATTGTGGTGTCCTCCACCTAGGAGAGTTAGTTATATCAAGCTGCTGACTGCTCAAAAGGGCTTGGGGGCACAAAGGGCTGAACTAGCCTTTCATCTTGAAGACGTGTACAATTTTTTGTGTGGTTTGCAAGTGAAATGAGCTCAGGGATCTCATCCCACTCCACAGAATTCTATTAAAATTGGTTATTCTGTCCCCAGCAGGGAGTCAGCTGAATTTCAGAAAGGTCTGGTACTCACCAAATAACTTCTCTAACACTGGATTGCTAGGAGGGGGTGGTGCCACACCATGGTACCTTTGGCATGCCGTGCATCTTTCCTCTTCCCAATGGATAGTTGTGACCGTAGGGAATAGAAGGTCTGCTTCCTTCTGGTCCCTTCTTCCAGCACTGCCCTCACTGCCCCCCTTTGTCTAATGGCTTTTCGTACCAGACCTTCCTGTCATTGCAGTTCCCTTTCTCTCTCAGACACTGAAGTCATGAAACGTGGCAGGCAGCAGGTTTGAGAGGCTCCTTGTCTCATTCCTCGGTCTTATGATCTGTTTTTCATAGTACCCGTGAATCATACAATGAGATGGAGAAGCCCCATCAGATCGTCCAGTCCTTCTCCCTGCCAGAGCAGGCTTGTCCTCTGCAGGACGTTCTCAAAGTGTTCAGGCCTAAAGTTCCAAAGGATGGGGCTTGCATCATCTCCCTTGAGAAACTAGTGTATTGCCTGGGCGTGATTTTTATGACTGGTCTTGTGCCCTGTGCTGTGAGACAGGCAGAACACCCCACAATCCAACCCTCTGGTCTGTAAGAGCAGTAGAAGTAGGTCAGCGTGCGAACCCACAAGGGGAAAGGTTTTTTTTGAGTTCCAAAGCTTCGGTCTCTGATATATTTTCAGGATTTCATCAAGTGCCATGACCCATGAGGGAGGGAAGAAAGACTGCTTTGAAGCTTCAAGCAATGTGCATATGGCAGGACATGGTCTATTGTAGATGACCAGATACATTGTCTCTTCTGCCTGGGCATCAGACCTGCTAATGCTCTCAGCATATGTCCTTCCTGAATAGATTTTTCCTTTAAATTGCTCCAGGTTGGCCATAGGCCAGATTGCAGGGAAGGGCTTGTAAGTCAGCCCCTGGATCATGTTGTTGAACTTCTCTGAACACCTTTTCACCTTTGTCTGTTTGGTAATGCAGTTCCTATAACTGATTTGCCACTGTCAACAAACTGTGCCTCTTAATACAAACAAAGAAAAACGCTCAGCAAAAGAACCGCCAGAATCCGGTCTCTAAGACCAGAGTGTATAAGTCCACCTCTAGTTTTTTAGAAACGAATTAGTCATTTTATTAGTCATTCTCGACAGAATTGGTATAATTTCCAAAATATCATTGGAGAAAAAATGGAAAGAACACTTATGACTAATGGCTTGGTATTGCAATTCCCATAAAGCAGATATTAGAGCTGCAGTGTTTTTTCTCATAATATGCGGTAATAGCAAGTTTAAATTGGAGAAAAATAATATCTGTCAAGTTCGCTATCCATGTTAATATCCTGCTGAAATGAACGTTTAAATGTGGCACATTATAACTTATTCCTGTGTCTAATATTTGGCTCCAGTCAAATGGTATTTCCAGGTGTTCGGCCAAATACTAATAATACTTGGCACTTATATATTGCTTTACATATTCAGAATCCCTTTTTGGATATTAATCACCCGATTACAGGGACAATGAGAGACAATGGTTGCCACTGAAGATAAATTAGTGCACAGATGGTATCTGAGACTACCACAATTCTCCTCCACCGTAATGGGAGTGAGAGATGTGAGAACAGTTATTGCATGTTATCCTTTTAATGGCTTCAGCTATAGGCAAGTATCCTACCCACCTTACAGATGGGAAAACCTAGGCTCAGACTAAGTGACTTGCCCAAGGTAACACAATAAGTAACTGATCACACAGAGATTAGGACTCTCTGGAGTGTCTGGCGCCCAGTACCACGATCAGTTCCTTGGCCCACGCTACCCCCTGACATTACAATTAGTTGCTGCTTACACCAAAATAAAATGCTATATGCTGTAGTTTGAAGATTGCTTCAGGACAAAGTAGCCGTGTGGGGTCTGTGGCCTAGAAAAGCCACAGATGCTGTGGGTCAGGACTGAGGTGCATTAGCTGAGTTAGAACCTTTTCTGACCTGAATGGTAAATTCAGAGCCGTTCTATCTGTTCAGGATCCAGTGTGCTGCTACCGTCTCACAATAAAGTTGTGTTGCTTAAGAATTCTGGGGGCCACTTCACATTACCTTGTGTTGCTCTGGGATTTTGAAGGGTCCCAGAATCCATATCTAGCAGCACTATTGAACCACAGAGGTAGCAGGGCCCTAACTTATATTCAGGAAGTGTTATATTGCTGCAGACAGAAGAATCAGGTGGCTGGGGAAGGTGGTCTGGGTACCCCTACAACCTTATCTCAGATTTCATCTCTCCTGTCCTCGGCCAGAAACCATGCCCTGCAGGTGGAAGGCTGGTTGCCACATCAGCTGTCTGCCTAGCACACGTATAAAGCGAATGCCAGCCTGAGTTGGTGGTGTCAGTCAGGATTTAGGTGTACTGGCAGAATGTGCTGTATATGATAAACTTACACGGAGCTTGCTTCTAACTCTGGGTTTTCATCAGTGGCCCTGGTGGAGGTTGGGAATTCCTTGAGGTCTAAATCACCAGAGGGTAAAATTCTGGCCCTATTGAAGGCAATGGCAAAACTTCCATTGACTTTTTCTTACCAAGAATGTTTAGGGGAAATGGGCACATCCTAGCTGGGCATGGTGTGGAAGAACATTGTCCCTGCTCTAGCTGCGGACTCCGGAGAGCATTGTGCTCCCTACGGAGTAAGGTTCCATGTTGCAGGCTTGACTAACTGCTTAACAAGTTCTTGGGGATGAATGACCATAATTGCAACCGCTTGATCGTCTTACTGCCTAGAAAGTGTGTCAGTCTGGTGTCCCCAGTTTGGGGTGGGGAGAAAGGATATACTTTAAGTGTAATCTCTGTTCATCCAGCAATTAAACTGTTTACAGGAAGCAGACTTTAAAATGCTCTTGCTATGGTATCCCTAGAAAAAGTGTCCGGCATGTTTTAGGGCTGTGACTCATGGGGTAAGGTTAAGATTTTGTAATGGGTATTTTTAGTAAAAGTCATGGACAGGTTGCAGGCAATAAACAAAAATTCATGGAAGTCCGTGACCTGTCCCAGCTTTCACTAAATACCGGGGAAAGGGGTTCTAATGGGGACGCCAGCTGCTGCTCCAGCCCTGCCACTGCTCCTGCAGCAAGGACTGACCGCTGCTGCTCCAGCCCAGCACCCGGGGGGGCTGCTTGGGTGGGGGCTGAAGCAAAGAAGTCATAGAGTTCCGTTTAAAGTCACAGAATCAGACCAAATCCTATCCTTACTCAAGGGGTTTTGAAAAGTCCTTTCTGGTCCTCCGCCATCATTTCGGCTGGGGCAAAGATAAAGTGAAAGTAAGGAAAAGCGTGCCTTGGTGTGGAGGATATGGAGTCATTGACAGACAATATATATGTAAGAACGGCCTACCTGCTTTAGTTCCTAGATGTATACATTTATATTTAACCGTATTGTAAATGTATACATCTCGGAACAAAGAATGTCGGCCAGACTTACAGGATGGGCGACTCCTATCCTGGGAAGCAGTGACTCTGAAAAAATATTGGGGGGGGGGGGGTTGTGGTGGATAATCAACTGAACATGAGCTCCCAGTGTGACGCTGGCCAAAAGACCCTGGGATGCATAAACAGGAATCTTGAGTTGCAGCAGAGAGGTTATTTTAGCTCTGTATTTAGCACTGGTGTGACTGCTACTGGAATCCTGTGTCCAGCTCTGGTAGCCACAGTTCAAGAAGGATGTTGATCAATTAAAGAGGGTTCAGAGAAGAGCCCTGAGAATGATTAAAGGATTGGAAAAGCTGCCTTAGAATGATAGACTCAAGGAGCTCAATCTATTTGACAAAGAGAAAGTTAAGGGGCAACTTGACTGCAGTCTATATGAGTATCTACATGGGGAACAAATATTTTAATAATGGGCTCTTCAGTCTAGCAGAGAAACATCTACCATGATCCAGTGACTGGAAGTTGAAGCTCAGTAAATTCAGACTGGAAATAAGGCCTAAATTCTTAACAGTGAGAGTAATTAACCATTAGAACAGTTTCCCAAGAGCTGTGGTGAATTCTCACTGGCAACTTTTAGGTCAAGATTGGATCGTTTCCTAAAAGCTCTGCTCTAGGAATTTTTTTGGGGCAGTTCTCTGACCTGTGTTATGCAGGGAGGTCAGACTAGATGACCACAATGCTCCCTTCTGGCCTTGGAATCTCTGAATCTGTGTGCCCCCACTGTTTTCACACAGTCCCTTCTCAGAATGGAATCACGCTTTGCAGATGTTTTTACTCAATTTTGGCATCAGTAAGTAAGCAGTTGGGAACGTCTATCTTTGCCCACCTCTGTTTCCATGACAGCAAAGCATCCTCGCTTTCAGTGACAGGATCGTGATTACCTGGCACGCAGCTCATGGACTCGCCCTCTCCTGGCATCGCTCTCTTAACTCCTGTGACTGCAGCCTGCCATAAAATCAATACATTAAAAACGAAAGTGCCCCCATGTGGAAACAGAATTTCATCTTGCCCACAACGGTTTTCTCACAGCACAAAGCTCTGGAACTCTTGCTCTCTCTGTCCTCCAGAAGGGCGAATGGGGTGGGGTGCAGAGGGCAACAAAGCCATCCTAGCAGTGAAATCCAGGATTGTGGTTGTACTGTAACTAGGTACTTTAACTTTCATCCCAGGAAATGCAGATCCATCTAATTACAGTCTAGAATTTATCCTATGCTCTAAAGTCTTGGGCTTAAAATAGCTCATGAGTAAAAATTTCAAAAGTGCCTAAGTTCCATTGAAAATGTTATGGCATGTTTTAGGGTATGGGGAAAGGAGGCAGATGCAGTATTTGAGTGTGTGAAACTTGTGTGTGCCCAGATCTTTGACAAATTCAGCAAAAAGTGTGATCTTCAGGATCTACTGGATGCCTTGCAGAAAGAAGCGTAAGATAATGCTGGTAGGAACTGAGCAGGTGAAGGCTGATTTGATGCATTGCCTTTCGGTGGTACAAGCACACTGAGAGAATTTAAAGGAGCCTCCTCATGACAGTGAGATGACCCACAGATTTGGATGGAACCTTGTTCCAATTAATTGGTAAAACAATTCTTGTTGAAAGCATCTCTTGTACCAAAGCATAACCTGCTGGGGTGTGTGTGTGTGTGTGTGTACACTCAACTCTCCAATCTTCTTTCCAATCTCAACAGCACCTGATCATCAGCATGTTCCAAATCGAGTGTGGGTCATGGTGGGTCTCCTCAACTTCGTGGCATATACACTTGGTAAGACTTAAGATTCTCATGATGTGTCTTGGATTTCTAATGTGCCTATCATATCATAATGACTTTAATTAGTCAAGTGAACTGTTGTCATAGTTCTGTGTTTCCCAATTCCTTCCCCTCAGGCCCCCCCCCCCCCCCAAGAAACAAAACTCTGATTCTGGGTAATTCATAGAATATCAGGGTTGGAAGGGACCTCAGGAGGTCATCTAGTCCAACCCCCTGCTCAAAGCAGGACCAATTCCCAACTAAATCATCCCAGCCAGGGCTTTGTCAAGCCGGGCCTTAAAAACCTCCAAAGAAAGAGACTCCACCACCTCCCTAGGTAACGCATTCCAGTGCATCACCACCCTCCTAGTGAAAAAGTTTTTCCTAATATTCAACCTAGACCTCCCCCACTGCAACTTGAGACCATTGCTCCTTGTTCTGTCATCTGCCACCACTGAGAACAGCCGAGTTCCATCCTCTTTGGAACCCCCCTTCAAGTAGTTGAAAGCAGCTATCAAATCCCCCCTCATTCTTCTCTTCTGCAGACTAAACAATCCCAGTTCCCTCAGCCTCTCCTCATAAGTCATGTGCTCCAGCCCCCTAATCATTTTTGTTGCCATCCGCTGGACTCTTTCCAATTTTTCCACATCCTTCTTGTAGTGTGGGGCCCAAAACTGGACACAGTACTCCAGATGAGGCCTCACCAATGTCGAATAAAGGGGAACGATCACATTCCTCGGTTCCCTGCCACCCCTTGCTCTGGGGTGTTGTGAATGACCTATCTCTGGCTGAGATGTCTCTGGAAACTGCCACTTTGTATTGTTTTATCTGTTTTACCCACTTGTTCCAGGGAGGAACATAAAAGTAGATGTCTCTTCCTATCAGAACTGACTTTATGGGGTTACTCGTGAAATACTGAAAGCAGATTTCTGTTAAATATTTAACATAGACTCTTCCTAAGGTTTTTTGTGTTGGTTTTTTTTTCTTTTTCTTTTTTTCAATCTCTGCACCCCCGCGGACAGTGCTGGATACTGAAGCTGGCTGCTGACTTCTCAGCCGAGCACACGTTATCTGGCAGCTGCGGAGTCCCCCCTTGCTTTGCCTGGGGATGTTTAACTTGCCTCTCTGTGCGCTTCCCTTCCAGATGGTGTTGATGGGAAGCAAGCGCGCCGAACAAACTCCAGCACTCCCTTGGGGGAGCTCTTTGACCACGGCCTGGACAGCTGGGCCTGCATGTTCTTCGTCGTGACCGTTTACTCCACCTTTGGGCGGGGATCCAATGGTGTCAGCGTCTTCGTTCTCTATCTGCTCTTATGGGTGGTTTTGTTTTCCTTCATCCTCTCCCATTGGGAGAAATATAACACAGGGATTCTCTTCCTGCCCTGGGGCTATGATATCAGCCAGGTGGTAAGTAGCCCTTCTGCCGCTTGATTTCAAAATACTCATTTAGAAAACAGTGGGCAAGCTTGGGTGAATTGCCAGAACTATTTGTGTTGGGGCATGTGCTGCCCTGGCATCTTTCCCTTGGTGACATCTGTCTAGTAGTCATAAAGTGCCATCATCACCATACCTAAACCTAACGATATTCTGAGCTCTTCAGGGAGGAGAGCTTTCTGGCAGAGGGCAGAAAGCTTGGTTGCTTGGTTGCAGGGTGCAATAGTTGGAACTATATCATCAGTGCTACTTTATGAAGCTCTGATTCAGCAAAGCAGACTTCTCCCATGATTAAAGTCAAGTTGAATGAATCAAGGAACAAGGGAGGAAGTTATCATGAAACTTTTATTGCATAGTTAGATTGGGACAGATCTGATTTCTCTTCAGCAGAGAAGTGATGTGTGTTGCAAGTATCTTTATGTTGACATAGGTTTTTGCATTAGCAGGAAATGAAATGTTTTTAAAAATTGGATACTAGTAATTGTTGGTTGTCCCAAACTGACTGGGCCTGTTTCTGTTGTGGCCCCCGTGTAACAGTATCGACTTAGCAGTTTATACTTGTGTGCGATTGAATCGGGTGCAGTGGTTTTAGAAGCACCGATTGTCACAAGTTCGGGTATCTCTACTGAATCGTTGTACAACACTAGAAATTCCCTTGAAAGCTGCCCCTTCCATCAGTAAAATCATGGTTTCTCTAGTCTTTGCAATCAGTCATCCTCTGGCCCGCGTCTCCAGTTTCTCCTAACCTGGCACTAATCCATGGTGCATTTTCCTGATCGTGCATCAAACAATCCTAAGATACCATGGATTGGTTTGCTACAGGAGGCAGTTAGACATGGCTTTGGCGGCTGGTGCTGGGGTGCTGTTGAAGTACAACTGTCCTCTGTGTTTGTGCTGGTCAATCCAGTAGTGGGGTGAGGCTATCCCCGGGTGCATGTGCAGACACAGAGCTCACAGGGGGTGGGAGGGTGGGCAGGGCAGAGCATCACAGGCCCCTCTCCTTGCTATCCCCTTTCCAGACTGGCCTTAAAACTCACGGTGACCAAGCAACCTTTGCCTCACCCTGTCCCTTTCCAGACTAGCAGTGAGGCTTCCTTGTCATGTTGCCAGAAGCAGAGGTTGGGCTGGTTCCTGACATGCAGTCAGCGTAGAAACCTGGGAATGGGGGCATATGTTTGGGGCCCCAAGTGGTTCTGAAAGCTGCACTGGGGTACCGTGGTTGCATCTGACCTGGAGATACAGGCTTCCTCTTGTTTTAAAGCTAGAGCTGGGTAGTGAAAATCTGATTGGAAAGCAACGCTCGCAGCTCCCCGAGCCGCCTGGTGAGGAATGGTCACCCCGCCAAAAGCACATTTGTTCCGACCCCTCTTTCCAGCTGCTAATGCTTGTCTGCGCTCTCTCTACATTTCCTTTTCAGACCATTTCAGTTGTCTACATAGTGACAGCGATTGTGGGAGTTGAGGCCTGGTATGCACCTTTCCTGTTTAATTTCTTATATAGAGACCTATTCACTGCAATGATTATTGGTAAGAAGCTCCATGTTGAAGCCTATTTTTAACCACCACCGCTTTACCAATAGCCAGTGTTTCACTTTAAAAAACAGTCAGCGTTTGTTTATATTTTTAGCAAAGAGAAACTTAATAAAATATCTCTGTAGAAAACTTGCCTGAGCGAGTCTTGGTCTAGATTGAAAGCAACAAAATGCACAGGGTCTGATACTAGTCCCATTGAGGTTTTGGTGGGAACCGTCTAAGTGGCCGTGGGCTGCATCTAACTTCTATAGAATGGAGAAGATTGCAGCCAGCTCCAAACAAAGCTCCAGGCGGGAGGTGGTCCCAGCATGCAATGCTCCATACTAAGCTAAGCAGCGTGGAAGTAATGCATGCCAGGACTTGTTTCCATAGTCTGCATACTAAACATCAAGGGTGGCTCTGAACGGCTCTGCGGTTGCAGTCTGGCCACCCCGAGCTAGGTAATAGGTCTGTATTTAGATGCCTCAGCCTGTGTGGCCTGAGAGACTCCTTTGGAATCTAGCTGTTGCAGCAGATTGGTCTGTAGTTCCCATCACTCTTCTCCACAGAGTACTTTGTCAGAACTGCCTCTTCACGTCAGCCTGGGAGCTGAAGTGTGTTCAGGTGGGCTGGCCAGAAAGACTTGGGTAGCTTTACTACTGTCTTGTTTTGAATGTATTTGTGGCTCACCCTTTGGGAAGAGAAGTAATTTGGTACCACCAGCCTTCAAAAGATGCCTTCTGAGGCAGCTTTCCTGCTGGGAGGTCATGGTCAAACTTCAGTTTTATCCTATTTAATCTCTTAGCTGCTGGCCACCCTGGCAGCTTTCAAAGTGTGTTGGGGTTTCATGGAACTCTGGCCCTTCAGGGAGGTCCGTGAAACTTAGTCAAATGACTAAAGCTTTTGTTAATGGCAGTTCTCATGTCCTAAATGGTGCACTTTAAATATAGGCAGTTTTGTTTGCTTCTATCCTTATAATAACCTTACTGTGTCTGAAATATGTCCTCCTTGCATGAAAAAGTGAAACCATTGATGATGCTTTCTCTGCTGCCCACTAGGTGTCTTCTTGGGAATTATGGTCAGAATGCAGATAAATATATGTTTTCACTAAAAGAAATAGTTATTTCCATAAATGCATTTATTGGCACTTCCCTAACCAAGGCAGTGCTTTTTCTGAAGAGCTGAGTCAAATATACAAATCACGTTAATGGCCATTACAAAAATCTCTGCAGCAGTGGGGTGACAGTGGGTTTAAGTACGCTTTTAGCTACTGTAATGTTGCAAATGACTGTTTAAAAAAAGATGCATGATGGTTAGCAGCCTGTCCCCGCCAATGCTCATAAAGGAGTTCAGGGATGACGATGGACTCTGAATTACTACGCTGCCTTAACTTAGATCTTTCTCTTTCAGGGTGTGCACTCACAGTGACTGTGCCCATGAGCTTGATTAACTTTTACAAGTAAGTTTTCCAAAAATCATGTGAACTAACTATTCTGCAGGGTCTGAGGCACCGCATGTGGTGATCCTGTTCTGCTAGGAGTTAGCCAGGCAGAATGCTGCAGAAGGAAGTAGGTGGAGAGCACGGTGTATTGATGGCCCAGCTCTGCCCCAGCTGTAATAGAAGGAGAGCCATGACTTGGCGTAGCTTTCTGTAAATTAGACTCCTTATAAAAGTTTCTTACCTTCACTGGCAGCTTCCCAGGAGCCCAAAAGGCACTCCTGATTAAGATGGAGAAGGGTTTAAGATGCCGCCCTTGTTAATACAGTAATGTGACTTGCTGTGAGCGCAGGTCCCTGCTAGGGTGACCAGATAGCAAGTGTGAAAAATCAGGACAGGGGGTGGGGGGGTAATAGGAGCCTATATAAGAAAAAGTCCCAAATATCAGGACTGTCCCTATAAAATCAGGACATCTGGTCACCCTAGTCCCTGCGTGCAGGCCAAGCAGCTCAGCTCAAGTGGAAGCAGTGCATTTTGGGACCTCTGGTCTCCGCTTCTGTATTAGCGGTATGTCTGGCTAGAAGAACAGGGCAACCTGGGAAGTGGCCCCTTGGGGGATTGAGTAGGGGTTGGATTCCAAAACACACTCCTCCCCATCACCCCCCTTTACTTACTTTAGTAACAAAATCCTGCACGTCCCCTACGGATTTCCTGATTTGCAGAAGTTAATTGGTGACCCTGCTAATGGCTGCTTTGAATATTGAACTAGCCATGAATCGCCTGGTAGACAAAATGAATGTTAAGCACCTGGCATAAATCTGGGTGATTTGACTCTTGCCTACCAGACTGAGATTTCATTGTTCAGCCTACTCTGGCGATCTAGCCTCTCACTGGCTCTGCAAGAAGGAAGCTGTGCAGGAAACCATGTCTTTCTCATCGGAATTGTTTCCCGAGCCCAGACCCAGTGTTGCAGTCTGAACTCCATTTGGGAGCCCCGGTTCTCCCCTTTGTTGCCAGCTCCTTAAAAGGCTGCATCTGGGATTGGCCAGTTATTACTTCAGCGTTGAAATCCATCGTCCACTAATGCAGGGTTACCAAAGACCCATCTGAATAAGCAACATGTAACTATCGTGGGTGCATTATTCACGGGGGTGTCTGACCTGAGACTGGCCTCTTGCCCATTTTCTCTCACAATTCCTACTGCTGGGCTCCGCCCAGCCTGTGCTTGTCGTACTCCACTTCAGGAAAGGTGCCCAAGGCTAGTTGGGCGCTCACCTGGATTGGAGAGTTCCCAAAGGAAGGCTTGTGCCTGCCTCTGTTAGAAGCTGTGGCTTCCGAGAGTTTGACTTAAGATTTGTGTTCCTTTTGCCTTTCAGGGCCTATAAAAGTAACACTCTGAAGCACAGGTCAGTGTATGAAATCATGCTGCCGTTCTTCTCGCCAGCATTGCTGTTCATTCTGTGCATGATCTGGATCTTCATGTCACCGTCAGACATCCTGGAGGTCCATCCCAGGCTCTTCTACTTCATGGTTGGAACAGCCTTCGCCAACATTTCAGTAAGAGCGCTATTTCTCCGCTAAAATGCGTGTGGACAGGGGGTGGCTGATTTGAATTAACACAATGGTGAGGGCTAGCAGTTTGTCAGGCTACATTATACGAACTATCCAGTCTGCTCATGAGGTGGAAAGGCAAGTCAGAAACCCAGAATGAAAATGCCAAGAATTGTGGATTGTATCTGTTGTGACTAAACCACTTTGCTGCACTGCCATGACTGAAAGGGCAGGCACTGAAGTGGGCAGGAGAGAAACGCTGACTCTTTTAGAGCTGAAAAACGTGTCCTGTAAACCAGATCTGACACTTTCCCCAAACCAGAGAAATCCCAGTATGTGCTTTTTCCACCCCTCCCTGATACTGGCTGACAATTCACATAATTGAGTTCCTGCTCTCTCAGCTTTAACATGGTCACTCGCAAGGCTCTTGGTGAACTTGATTCAGCTGTGTGTTGTCACATCTGCCTGCAGACATGAAGCCCCCGCCCTCATCCCCCCAAAATCATGAATACTGTTAAGCCATGGAATCCGTGCCTTCCATGACAAAAGGCCAGCCCTGGCGATGATGTTTAGGAAGCTGTGGGGCTTTAATCATAGATCTGTCACTATCCTCGGACTGTGCCCAGAAGCAGGGCTTCCTGTCTTTCCCACTCGGCAGAGTTTTCTACTAACTTTGCAGATAAGATCGGTCAGATTTGACCAGAATTGGCCAATCAATGCAAATAGATCCTTGTGATGGTCTGCTCTTGATGTGGACTTCTCTGGTTATATGCACAAGAGGAATTCATGTCAAAATGGAAACTTTCTCAGTCTTTGGGAACCTTTAGAGCAGATGATTGTCCATGTTTTAATAATTATCGCTCTAGAGATGTACATGGCCCTGTAACGGTGCGAGACTCACCCCTGCGGCGCCTCCTGTCGGTCGTCCTGGGAATAAGCTTAGACTCAGGAGCGCCCTCTGCAGGCTGGTGCCTTGCGGCCGCTGGCCCCCATGTCCCTCCTGGACCCGGTGCCCCCTGTCCTTGGGCGCTGCCCCCTGGCAGTACACCTGCTCTCAGGGTCTCCCCACCCACTATCCCCACCTCGCCTCAGTCTTGGGCTACTGCCAGTCACCATCTAGCCCCCGCTCGCTGGGGCGGACTGCAGTGTAAAAGCCACTCATCACAGGCAAGGGGGGTTTGGACCGGCTGCACCCTTGCACCCTAGTACCTTTCTGGCCTTTGACAAGGCCGCAGCCTGGGGCTTTTCCAGGCGGGAGCTCCCCAGCTCCCTTGCCCTATCCCCCAGCCCTGCTCCCCTCAGGTACCCCGTTCAGCTTCCCAGCAGCCAGGCCCAGAGCCTTCTCCCTCTAGAGACAGAGAGAGACTGACTCTGCTCCGGGCCCACTGCCCTCTTATAAGGGCTAGCTGAGTCCTGACTGGGGCATGGCCACAGCTGAGCCTGGGAACTGCTTGCTCCCAGCCACAGCCCTCTCCTGGGCTGTTTGAAGCCCTCTAAGGCCGGAGCGGGTGACCACCCCGCTGCAGCCTTCATTGCTGTATTCTGAGTGAGTGAGTCCTGGGTTGGAGGCTCCCGTTGGAAGGAAACCAAAGCCTATCTAACAGACCTTTCTCCCTCCTGCCCCCACCAGTGCCAGCTGATCGTGTGTCAGATGAGTAGTACCCGGTGCCAGCCTCTCAACTGGATGCTGCTGCCATTAGCCCTGGTCATCTTTGTGGTGATCTCTGGAGTCGCAGCACATTGGGAAAATCTTCTCCTGTACCTACTGACTGCTGTCATCACCCTGACGCACATCCACTACGGAGTAGGAGTGGTAAGTGACATCTGCCTTTGGGCTTGGCCTTTCACTGTAGCGGCTCTGCTTGTAGGATTCACTTTGTCCCATTGCTGGTCAGTTTTGCAGGGGGTGTCGCATTTAACACCGGGAATACCAGGCAGATTGAGGCATTTCTATAAAACATGAAAGGAAGCTAAATAGGTGGCATCTGAAAGCTCTTATTTTGTATACCAGGAACTGACAGCCCAGCTGCAGCGGAAATTCTTTTAGTCGTTTAAATTAAAGACTGGGTCTCATCCAAACCCTGGATCCACACCCTGTTTTAGATCACAGTTTGCAGCTTAAAACGTAGGAACGAAGCACTGGTGAAACATGGATTTAATGCGCCCAAGTTCGGATGTAGTTCTGGTTCTGTCGGTCAGAAAAATGCCAAGATCAGAATGGGATCCAGAGACCAGGTTGGGCGTATCTCTCATTTTAAATAAATTATTTGGGGACTTAGCTCGGTACCATTCACTTCCTAATATTTCACCTTACTTAGAACTTCTTTTCTAGAGGCCCCCGCAGCTGCTGCTGGGTAGCACGTGACTGTACACGCGAATCAGTGTAACGCTCTCTCCGGTAGGGGGCACTGCGTACAGATTTATAAACGTTCCCATAGGCGTTAACTGACTTTTTTCATACTGCGCCTTTGAACTATTGCTTTCAGGTGCCCCAGGCATAGCGTAACTAGAACGCTGTCTGAAGTGCGGTGGTTATGTCTGGCTAAATAAAGAGTGAACAAAATGACTAAAGAACCTGAATTACTGACGTAGAACCTGCCATATTTCAAGCTTCTGAGATGAGTTCCTCTGCTGGGGAGAAGCTGGGAAGGGCTAGCTCAGTGGAATAGTCTCCCCTGTATCCAGATGCCTTCAGGGATCAAGGAAGCACTGTAGCTAACTGTGGGAGACCGGCACTGTGTGAAGGCATTGGCAGGACGCAGAATGTGTAGGCGGTGGGAGTGCTGCTCAGTGGGAAGAGCCCAGTTGGGTTGTCCTAGGTCAACTGAACAGGGAAATGACCCGCTCAGCAGCCAGAGTGGGACCCTGAGCACTTGTCGCTTCAGGCCAGCTCAAAAATATATACGCTAGCTCCTTGCAAGACACGGGTTTGACGCAGGACTCAGTGGGTGACGTTCTCAGGCCTGTGACACAGGAGGTCAGACTGATGGTCGTCATGGTCTCCTCTCGCCTTATACTCTCTGAAAACCCCCACCCATTTGGAACCCCTTTGTAAGACACTATGGGGCGAGAGTGAATCTGCAGTTTCTCCTCCTGAGTTGCAGGTGAGCAGGCCTTGGGTGACGTGGTTGCTTAGCTGCCGCGCTGTATGTGTTGGTCTTTTCCTGCCAGCCATGTGAATTGCTTTAAAAACAACTCTGACATTTCAGCCAGGCTAATGACTTGACGTAGCTCTCTGCATAATCTCATCAAAAAGCAAATTTCCTGAATGCAGCCTTTAAGTCTGACATGGCTTTTCACTGTCTGTCGGGAGGAAATGGGCCTTGTGAAGGTCACTGCGAGAGGAGGCTTCTCAAGGATAATTAAAAGCGGGTCTCCAAATCTCAGACATACTGTCTCTTGGCACAGTTACATACCGATGTCCTGTTGTACTGTCACCTGGTGGGAGTGGCTAGGCAGGACAGTCTAGTGCAGGCACTGTTAGCTCAGAGCTATAAGAGGGTGCTATGTAACTGCTGTCCGACTATCGTGCTCTGGAAGCAAGCCAGCCTCTGCTTGTTGTTTTTGCAGTTCATGTATGACTAGTATTCAACTGAACGACTTGTGTATGCCCTTGTTACTTGTTTAGCTAAAGCATGAGCATTGGCTTCACAGCTCACAACAGGCCAGACGCATTCAAGAACAAGTGCATGTTCAGAGAGGAAAGGCAGTCAACTTAAAAACTGATCAAAGGAAATGCATAGGGTTTACAATGTGCAATTAGCCTGTAGAACTCACTGCCACAAGATACCATTTGGAACCAGGAGTTTAAGATTCCATATAAAAGTGTAATGAGACTATCCAGGTACTTTGGGTAGGGTACAAATCTCTTTGTAAGGTGTAGAAACCTTAATGCTTCAGGGCTAAAACCAGCCACTAACTGGTGAGGCGGGTTAGGGCACAAATTTCCTTTGGAGAAGCCTGCCCAGAACTGATCCCCTTGGGGGTTTCTTGCGCTTGCCTCTGGTCACTGTGCAGCACAATGCTGCCCTAGATGGACTGTCGGGAATTGCCATAAGTATTTCTATTCATCAGAACCTCTTCGAGGGTCAAATGCTGGACCCCACAATGCAAACCCCAGTGGCATGTTGAAGGAGAGTCAGTCGTCCCCGGATCTGGTAGAGTGTAGAATGGGTGCAGCTGCTCCACCCCAGGCTGGACTAGTGGCTTGTGGGCCCTGTGTCCCAGAGGCTTTGGCTTGGTGGGAGCCTGCCGGCATTCTCACAGTCCATCCCGTCCATGGAGAGAGAGGGGTGCTTCAGAGAAGTACTCCGGTTTGCGGAGTGTCGTGTGTGGCTGGCCTGGCCCTGCACAACAGGCTCCTGGTGTCCTGAGACAGGTCTCATGCGCCCATGTGGGGCCATTCAGCGTTGTTTAGCTGCACGTGCGGCTCGCTTGGTCCCTGGTGTGGTGCGTAAGGGGATGGCTACGCTGCAGTAAAACACTGGCGGCTGGCCCATGTCAGCTGAGCCAGGCTCACGGGGCTTGGCCTGTGGGGCTGTACAATTGCAGTGCAGGTGTTCAGGGTCTCGGAGACCCTCCCCCCTTCGTGGGGTCCAAGAGCCCAGGCTACAACGTGAGCCCAGATGTCTACACCACAGTTTTACAGCCCAACCCCGGCAAGCCCGAGTCAGCTGACTGGCCAGCCTGGGGTGTCTTACTGCCGTGTAGATGTACCCTTAGGGGCTTCTGTAAGGGAGTGACTAATAGCCCTGGCTGGGGGTGAGCATAGCATGGGCAGGGGCTATGCATCCTTCCTATACATACAGCACTCTGCCAATTCACTGCAGTCCTGGGCCCGAATCCTGAGGCGTACTGAGCTGCTCCATTCAAGTCCCCTTGATTGTTTGAGGTGGAAGGCATGTTGGCTGATGTACTGCTTTCATTTAACTTTTCTCTCTCTCTCTCCCCCAGGTAAGCCAACTGAGCAAACATTTCAACATCCGGCCTTTCTCGCTAAAGAAGCCCAGTACAGATTGACTAGAAGGGGAAGAAGAGAAAATCAGCCTGCAGTCTGCACAAGTACTGTAAATAACTGCTGGAAATAGCTTGCACTTCAACCATCACCACAGACCTACATCGATCTTCTGGACAGACACTGGGGCAGTGGGGGCTCAGCACCAGGGCTAGACCCCCGACTGCCATTGAGAAAACACGTACCGCTCTATGGTGAAACCAGGCGAGGGGAGTAGCCTTTCCAATTATTCCTGTATATTACATTAGCCAAACGTCTTCAAGCCCTAACTCTGTTCGGGTAGAGTTGGCTTGGGAACGTGGATGGCATCGCTCAGAACGCACGGTCACCCAAAATAACCTGGCAGCTGAGTTAGTAGCAGTGGCCTCAACACATCTGTAACGGAGACGTTTGAGCTGCAGGGTCAGTGAGGAACGTCTTCGTCGTACACGAAGGCACATGAGTCACACACGCGGCTGTCTAGTGTTAGACCCTGTCAGATGACCTTTGTCCCTTGATGCTAGTCTAGGGAGCAGATCCCCGGCATGCGCGCACACACGTCCATTCATGCAAAATGTTTGTTTAGAAGCTTCAAATGATATTCCACTAGGACGACTTGGGAATTGAGGGATTTGACTAAGTGGTTAAGGCAGCTTCCCCTTCTTTCCCCCCCGTTTTTCCAGCTGTGGGTAACTGGGACCATATCTTGACAGTATTTTTCTTGTTAACCATACATTGGCCACATGTGTTCTTTAATCACGAGCCCATGAAGGGAACTTGAGCTCTTAGCAGCAATGGTTATTTTGGGATGGCGGGTGGCTTATTACTGCCTGCAAGAGCTAAAATAGCACATGGCCAAATTCTCCCTTCTGATAAATCAGTACAACCTCATT